TAGAAATATCACCTACCAAAACTATCTGTGATCATAGGTATATCCCCTTTTTCCTATACCTCATCATTCTACCTATGTATCTACCTGTAGATTGGTATTACTGATAATGCCATACTGTGTATGTAAAAGTATTTACTTTTATTGTATGTACCTCTCCATGTCTTTCTTTTCCTTAGTGATATTGTGCTGGTCCCTCACTTTTGGTATATTGGTTTTCCCTTTACCCAAATCAACATGTGTCTCTTACCTATCTAGCAATTTTCCCTCTCCTCCCCTCCCATCCCTCGTAACCAATAAAGTTTTCTCCCACATGTAAACCTTTCTCTGAATTTTTGTAATAGTGGACTCATACAGTATTTGTCCTTCCGTGACTGACTTATTTCATTCAGTATCATGTCCTCCAAGTTTATCCACATTACATTTTATGGATTCTTCATTATTCTTTAGTGTTGTACCATAATTTGGTGATCCATCCTCTGCTGATAGCACCTAGGTTGTTTCCATCTCTTTGCTATTGTGAACAGTGCTGCAATGAATACGGCTGTGCATACACATCTAGTCATGCCCCAGGTGTCACTTCTTCAGGATACCTACCCAATAGTGGGAGTGCTGGATTAAATACTATTTCTAACTTTTTAAGGAAGTGCCATACCATTTTCCACAGTGGAACCCACAATCTTAATGAGAATATTCAACTTCCTTTCATAGGCTCTGCATCAATTACATTATAATATTGCTAAATACGGCCCTAAAAATATATTTATTTTCTGCTCTCAACTTCATCTCCTTATATTAGACAGAGGTGCTTGAAGCCAATCATACCATTAGCACCAAAGAAATTACTTAAACAGATTAGGACCATTGGCATGAAAGCAGTTGTACCTGCAGGTACTGCAACAGCTAAGAATGAATACTGTACAATCATTTGGGTGCTAGAGTCAGAAAGATCTACATTTAGGACTCAACTCTACAACTTACTAGCTTTGTTACCTTCAGTAAGTCATCTGACCTCTCTGAGTCTCAAGATTCCTCATGAACAAAATGGGGATAATAGTATCTACCTGCATAGGGCTGTTGTGCTTAAGGCAGGATTAAATAGAATATTCTGAAAAATACTTGATGAACATCTCTGATAAGGTTAACACATAGTATTGTGACAGAAGAGTATTTACAAAGCACTGGCTTCTACACAAGAATCATGTTAAACCTGAAAAGATTCCATTTGATCATCTGGTCCAATCTTGGCATTTTATAGATGGAAAAAAAAAAAAAAAAAAAAGAGCTCAAGAGAGATTTTAAGACCAATGAGAGGAAAAGCTTAGACATGGTCTCTGAATATAGCCCAGGGTTTTTTCTACCACATCACTGTTCTCTCCAGTTGGGAGTATTTCGTCATTTGGTTCTTGATTCAAGATTTTATAGCCATAAAGAATTATCTCTAGGCACTGCCCAGGTTACAAACTTCTGACTTATGTACAAGCCATAGCTATGAACCAACCCTTGCAAAGCCTATTACATTAAAAATTCCAGGTACACACAATGGTTCATAATAACAAACAGGCACTAAGTGATACACATTATTATTATTATTACTGTATTATTATATTAAAGATCTTTGGAGTGTTATCTGGAAGTGTTTCTTTTATGTATGTTATGCATAGAAAGCTACACTATATACTATATATTAAGACAAACATTTTACTAACTGACATTAGATACTAACTGTACCCAACTGTTCTGACTTACATATAAATTAGACTTATCAAGACTTAGGAACAGAAGTCATTCATAATCTAGGGACTGCCTGTAAATAGTTCAAGATTGTGGTATCATCTAAACCTTTTAAGAAAACCTCAAAACCAGAACTATTGTCATCCAGTCAATTGCAACTCATAGTGATTCTACAGGACAGGGCAGAACTGCCCTATAAGACTTCCAAGGCTATAAATCTCTATGGAGGAAGACTGCCTCATCTTTCTCCTATGGAGTGTCTAGTAGGTTTGAATTGCTGACCTCTGGCTTAGCAGCTGAATGCTTTAACCACTGTAGCACCAAAATTCCCTCTAGACCTTTAAAGATAGAAAATTTCATACGACACAAGTGTACACTCCATCAAAAACCTTTGATATTTGATAGGTCATTATTTTATCACTTTTGAAAATTTACTGCTGAGTATTCCAAAGAGAATTAAACACATTTTAAAAAAATAATATAACAGAATATGTGCTCATACATAGACTTTTAAAGCGAGGTGGATGAACAGAAATATTAAAAACATCACATAAAGATGTGCTTCCCCTCACTCCCCTACACTCCAAAAATAAAAAGTGCAAACTACACCCCCCTGATGTCAATCAAATTTTTTGGTTTCTGAGGAAGAAATACAGAGGATTTTCTAAGTCTTTCTGCTAATGTCTGGAGTGCAACAAAACCAGATGGGTTGCCCAGTGGTTAACCAACAGCAACAGAATTTGATACCAGCAATAGAAAGGACACAAAGACATTAATTAAATAAAGGGATGACACAAAGGCATCACTAATAGAACAAAGTAGATACAATTTGTTATTTTAAATCAGTAGTTTTATTACAGCACACTGACACACAATTAGAGAAGGAATGTCCTGACATTTTCTGAGCATTTAACAGAAAGCAAATGTAACCATCCAGGCAGTAGTCATCCACACCTTTTCCAAACACAAATCAAAGGCTTTTTACATGTGATAACTCAGGAAAGCAAAGTTTTCTTATTCTTGTCTATAAAGTTTCGATCTCAGAGAAGTTATTATGAAGTGGGCTAAGAAGGGAAGTGTTTTCCTTCATGATATCCCAAATCCTTTCTCTAGCTTTTCCCCCTGACCTTCTAGATGACTTTTAATGAAGCTGCAGATAATAGTGTGGTAAGGAGCTAACTGGTTTCTTGTTATGAGGCTGACTATTACACATCACTGTAATTGAAAGGAGAAGAAAATTAAGTTATGCTAAAATGCACAAGGACAAGGAGAAAATATCTGGGTGTATTAAAAATGAGATGCTCTTTTCACATAACTCATTTCAAAGGTTACAATTACCATAAACATTTTAACTCCATTAAAGATCATTGGCAAAGGCCTGCTGTTATATCTGCATGAGAACTCTGCCTTTACACAGGCTCAGAAGAAAGCAATATACCCTGTGAAAAGAGTCACTATTCCTGGTGAAGTAGACTTCAGACTCTTTGGAGTTGCATAGGATTTTTTTTTTTTTTCCAAACCTACTTTGTAAAAGACAGTAAGCTCCTTATTTTCCCTCTTTCAACAGTCATTGTAGCAGTCAGGTGTTTTAATCTCTGTAGCGCCCAAATATACAAAAGCACTCTAGGAAAGAAACACTAAAATGGCATTTTGGATAAAGTCACTATACATTACATAACTTGGGAACAACAAATGAAAAAGCACACTCATGACTCTAGTATTTTATATAGAAAAGCACTGCAGGAGAAAACTTTGCTTAAAAACATTAAAACTCAGGTGAATATAAATACATTTTTGGTTAATCTGTGCTATCGCATATAGAAATCCTGTCAGATACTCAGGCTATCAGGTAACCCATTTAGAATTTCATGTCTGACTGTATTAGAAGAATATACACTGTTGCATATACTCACATATATATGCATATCCATATATAAAATTCAGATCGTGAAAATTTGTTTTAAATATATATACTTAAAACTTGTACCTCTAAAAATAAATATATTAGCCTTTAATTGGCTAATTCTCAGAGTTCCTTCACAAACCAGTCAGAACACAGTTTCTCAACAATGGCTGATGATCAGTTAGCTGCTCTTTAAATCCATTATCTATTAGTCAATGTTCTAAAACTCAGGTATGTAACAGAAGTAACAGTCCCAGAATAGAATACAGACACAATTCTGGCTTTGAAAATAAACGTCTTGGTTTCCTTGATGTTAGTTCCTACAAACATCTACATCTTGCCTCTGCATTTATCTAGCAGTGGGAGACCATTTTCCAGTGACAGTGTTCTATTCCACTGACATTACCTGCTAATCAGAGGAGTCAGCTGGTATTGCCTTTGCCGTTTTGAACTGGGGCACTAACACAACATCTCATTTGTATTTGATAGCACTCCTATAGATCACAGTGAGTTGTGTATTTTAATGTGATTTACACAATGCGCTGATGTCACTGAGGCAAGACAGAAGTAGCCTTGGTATTTAAAAAAAAAATCTCCACGAGAACAACACATAAAGGACCTTGTGATATAGATTCATATTCTCTGACGAAACTCAAAAGTCTTACCATAATGTACACACTCGGTATCCATGTTGTAGTTAAAAACAATAGAAATGGGTGAAAATAATCAATATTCTTACTTAAAAAGAACACAATCCACAAAAAATAGAGCTTTATTTTTCTACTTTTTTCTTTTGCATCTCCAAAGACAATTCTTTAAATAATGTAAACCAGACCAAACTGGTTAATGCAGTACAATACTTAACAACTTTGTTACTTGTTTTTGAATAAGGAATCTCAAAATGTAGGAAATCTATGATAATAATAGCAAGAATATTTAATGCCAATGCCTAAATTTTTTCAGAGGAAAATTTACCATTGTTGAAACACACCTAAAAACTACAGTGTTCTATGCTTTCACAATTCTAGGATGCTAACTTTATAAATTAAAAGTTATCCATATATAAACAAGGCCTCTTTTTCATTGATTTTAATCTTGTTTACACCTTTGGATATTTCAATCTTCAGATTCTACAAGGTAAGGCTGAGTTTTTCAGATATAAAGAAAATGTGTAAGTCCACAATGTACTGTAGCATCGAAGAAACAAATAAATATTTACAGGCTGGCTACAATTCCTGCTCCCCGCTCCCCCGCCAAAAAAAAAAAAAAAGCGTATCAACATCAGCCACACTCTTTCTTCAATTTCTCTGGGGTCACAGCATTTTTTCTCACTCATCTCTCCTCTCAACCCTAAGTCAGGATGGTCTTAAGTCAAAGGGCGTGGTCTTTTTGGAGGTGGTGGTGGCATAAGCTCTGTGTCAGGATCCAGATGATGCTTCCGCTTCTGTCCTTGAGAAGCTGCCGCACATCTGTCGATGAACTCAAACAGCATCTCCTTGGTAACAGGGTTTGAGATGCTGTTGCACACAGCTGTGGACAAAGGAAGACAAGTGTCTCACGTGAGGTTAATAAGCCAGCTGACTCACCCCAAGCATATGAGAAAGGAGCAAAGTTTATCATCGTACTACGCTAAGCACTCCTCCGCTTTATACCTTCCCTGTCCCCAAAATAAGTGCTTTTCAAGTGGCTACTTTTAACTGTCCTATTAATATTAAAGCAAATCTTTTGAGAATTTGGGTTATATGCATGCCTTTACTATGGTTTTTCTATCCCTTCAAAACAGTTTCTATGGGGTTTTAATCTAACACAGTGCATTGCACTGTCCACGCTCAACCAAAATTTCTACAGGAAACGTGCTACACAGTCCTTCAGTCTTTTTCTCAGAAAGAAGTCCACTCTATGAATAATGTAACAGGTGAGCATCAGCCACCATTCCCACTGAACTGGGAGGTTTCACTGTACCTGGCATACCATATTCTTTTGTTTTTATAACTTATTTGGAATGAGATCTCATAACAAGATTACCTGATAAATAAAGCATCTTTTTTAAGTGATCAAAATTTAATACCAGCCCATTTCATTTTACTTATTTGGTTTTAGAATGAAAGACACTGGCTTAATCATTCCTATTTTAAAAATTATCTCATCTTGTCTGAACATGGATGCTAGTCACAATAAGAATGCTTGAATGTACATCAGTACCTTTTTAAACTGTAAAACCTACACCAGCAATTTGTATACATTCTCATAAGCTCATCATATAATCACCATAATCTACTGAACACTAAAAAGCATACCTTTAAACTTGGTTTTTAACTCCTTTTTCAAATTCAGAGCAACAACTGCTACTAGTAGTAGTTTATCATATAAACTTTAATTAATCTGTGTTGATCCCCATGAAAGATTTTACTATTCTGAATTTCCAAAGCATTCATATTGTACCCAAAGAAAATTGAAGGCTTTTTTTTTTTTTTTTTTGACAGTTTTCATTTATTTTGTTCTCCATTGTTTGTAAAGCTATTTTAGGAGCTGGAAATTACATTTTCCCCTGCTAATTCTGTCTTTTACCATCTGGCAAACAATGGATTTTGTAGTTTTGAATAGATCTGAAATTATCATGGCTTTTATTGTTGTTGTTCAACAAACTCACCTTGTATACAGCCCATTACCCTGCCCTTTACACCTCTCTTTTGGGTGCATAGGCCCATGGCCACCAATCTAGAGAGGAGAACATATGAGTTGACTGGTCTTGAACAGGATATAGATCTGAGGCAACACCTAATCATCAAACAAGGATGATGTCCGAGTGACTCCATGCTCATCAGGCAGAACAACAAAGAAAGCACATTTTGATTCTAGCACCTTAATTTTTACTTATTTTTTAAATGTAACAAACACTGATAGGTTGTCATACTCACCCATGGCAGTGTTGTAGGCATTAGGAAAACTTTTGTCTGTTCTTTGTCTCATGAAGACCCAGCTGTTATTCTCAAATTTGCATTCTATAATTTTATTGTCATACTGTTTTAGCTCTTTTGTCACCTGTTTTAATAAGAGAATTGAGAAAAATATTTTAATCATTTAAAAGGCTTTGTGCTTCCACCATGTGACAGACACATTAAACCCATTCCTGTCGAGTCAATTACTACTCATAGTGACACTTCAGGAAATGCCAAAAACATCTCAGTAACCCTTCATGCAGAACTCTGTCATGTCAAGTGTCTAATCAAGCTGAAGGATATGTGTGCATTCCCTAGTACACATGCTCACTTACCGACATTGTATAAATAGTTTTGAAAATGGCTGTCAAAATATAGCAATTAAAAGAAGCTAAGCATAAACCTGCCACTTCTGGGTCAAATGTAAGTATTTACCATGAAGACTGATGCCTTTAGTATTTTGTCTGTGTCCTTATAGTACCAAAAGTATGCGCTTAGGTTCCATCAACTTCCAGAAAGGTCTCACTACCTAAATTCCTATGCGAAACTCTCTGGAATTCCCTTTACTAGTTAAAAAGAAAAAGTTACACATAAAAAGTAAACACAAGGATCAAGATCAAATCCAGGCCATTTGTGTCTAAGATATTTTGCTTTTCAAGCAGTAATAACTAATGAAAAATCTATTCTATAGGCTACCTATCCTTTCCATCTCCAAACTAGCATGAATTTAGAGATGAAGCTACTTTTGGTGGGTATTTTGGCTACTTCACCTCAGATGACTGAATATGGATTACAGCTTACTCTATCAAAGCTAGCAAGTATCCATGGTAACTATAGAACCTTTTAAAAGATATTACATCAGACTGTGAGGATGATTTTCATAAATAGGAACCTAAGCTTATCTTTGCAGTTTTCATATCAAATGCCAGTCATGGTAATATTTTAATTCTGTGCTCATCTTTCACAGCTCACAACTTTTCCTCACAATATGGTAGATTGCAATCATTTAACTTCATTAGCATTATTTGAAATACTCTCATTTTTCTACCCATACATTCACTACCACCTAGGAATATGAGGGGAAGTAAGTTTTTTAAACATGCTTTCAATTCACAGATCAGGCAAGTACATGTCTTCATGAAAATTATCAGATTGTATTCCTTTCCCCTTAATGTGTATTATACTTGTTTGGAATATTTTCCTGTTCATCAAATCTAACAAGCCCCAGTATATTCAGTAGTTGGGAACTAGACCTGCCCAAAAGAGTGATACTCCATTTAGTAAATTTGTTAAATTTATCCTCAAATACTCATGATTTCAATCTCAATTCCCTTCCCTGTCTTCCTATGGATTTGCCTCCTTTTAGTTTTGATACGTTATTTATATCCAAGTATTGTTGTGTTTGTTATGTGCTGTCAAGTCGGACCAGACTCCTAGCAACTCCTCCTTGGGTTTCCGAGGCAGTATCACTATGGAAGTAGATTGCCCCATCTTCCTTCCGAGGAGTGGCTGGTGGGTTTGAACCTCCAGCCTTCTGG